TGAGTCTATACCAAATAAACTTTATAATTATTGAAATGGCCATCCTCGAATGAATATCTGTTACCTGAATAACTGTTACCAGCTGCATGTAAGAAAATAATCGTAACACATAATGTGAGCAGTGTTTCCACTCGCTCATTAAGCTAACCAAGATTATTATTTATTAGAGTGACGTGTAAGACGTTTTGGTTACTTCGGTTGATCCCTCTATGGAAACTTCTCAGGAGTTTGCTCTCGTTCCTCCCGGACCCTTCTGTTGTCTGTTATGAGGAAGTGGTTTCATCTATCTGGGTTTGTCGTGCGAGAATGGAAGTGACTAAAGAATCTATGAGTTTTAAGGTAACTTTATGGGGTGATCCTTACAGAGTCCTCCTATAATTGCACAATGTATGCAAGTTGTATATAACTTAAGACTAAATAGACCTTCGAATAAGTGTTCCTACTCCAAAACCACAACCAAACAAGGAACAGGTAATGAAGCGTAGATCACAACTTCTAAGTCTATAAAATCTCAATTATATATAACCTTGGAAGTATACATTGCAAGATTATAGACCTATCCGTAAGGGTCTTTTAAGTTATCACATAAGTTATTTGTATGGTGCCTAAAATACTCGTATAGTATTTTAATGTAAGGTACTTAGTATGTTTCAACTTTTTATCGTGCTATAGTGTCACAGAATACTCCCATAGTATTCTAATGTAATGAACTTGGTATGTTTTGAACTTGTTATCGCGTTATAGAAACATAGAATACTCCTATAGTATTCTAACTCAAATGTACTTGTTCTAGTATTCTCTTGACTTAGTATTCGGTAAGTTTTAAGACTGTTGCAACACCACATCACTCCCAAACACCTGTCGGTCACATCTCGAATGAATATAGTTGATCAGGCTATATTGATCCCAGCTTATGATTACATGATTGTTCAGGTTTGACGACAGTGTTCAACCTTTAAATACTTTTAGTTCTGTTCTTCTTGTGATACTTGGTCTAGTATGTATACATGTATAAGCAAGTAGGTATATTTTTATAACTTACTGTTATACTCTTAAAATATACCATTATCTAGAGCACTTAAGCCCCATTGTATTTATAGTTGTATATCTTTTATTTGGTTGATATACTTAGTTCACTATAAACAATGCTCTGATACCAATCTGTCACACCCCAAAACCGGAACGGCGGAAACGTTCTGGGGTGGAGGACGTCATGTTTAGTATGACAAGACATGCATCATAGTAATCGAAGTAATAAACAACCATTTCATTAGAAGGAAAGTGTTTACAAAGGGTGTATTCACAAAACATAGAGTATATAAGCAAATAACAAACAAGGCTTGAAGCCATACTGCTCCATCTTCTGAATCCCAGCACGAGTACCTGTCTACTAGGCTCCTGAGAATACAAGTTATTTGAAAGAGTTGATCAGCAATTAAGCTGGTGAGTTCATAAGATTTTAGTGATGTAAGTAGTTGTAGAAAGCTTAGTAAGATGTAGTAAGTTGTAAAATGTTGTGGTAAACAAGGAACAGGAAATGAGGCAGATGACACACATCCCATTGGTTGTTAGATCCTTATTGTATATAACCATGGTGTATTCCCTTGGTACTCACGGAGTTGACTGTAATAGTTCCTTTATGTTTGATGAAAAGCTTCTTTAGGAAAACCCTTATTTCTTATAATAAAATGGTGACCACAATGATTACTTCTATAATCACTTAGTTTATACTGGCTATATATAATCTAATATCGATTAGATAGTTAGTTGGGTGAATCTTCCCTAAGCCCACAACCAAACAAGGAACAGGAAGTAAAGGCGGAAAGCACACATCCAACAACCTATTGGGTATTAAGGATATGTAACCATGATGTATAAACTAAATTATTATAAAGTTAATCACTTAAGGCCCTCTAAGTTTACAATGGTTTAATAAAGAGGATTAAACCATTAACAGGTAAGTTTCTAGTTTTGTATACCAAAGTTCTGATTTAGAAAACATGTTCTGTACTAGAAAACTGTGCATTGACCTTGTGTCCTATGACTTGACCCATACCTGGTACCCGTATGATGACTTAATGTATACGAAACCTATATATCTAGAATCGAATAGATAATAGGTTGGGTGAATCTGTCTCAAGCCCACAACCAAACAAGGAACAGGAAATGAAACGGAAAGCACACATCCTATTACCTGTCGGATTCTATTGATATATATGTATCCTTTGATGTATACATTAGGGAATCATAAGGTTAGCATTATGGTCCTTTCTACTAAACGTAGCCTTCTACTAAGGCATCAAATGTTATGTATGTTTGTTTCTTGTATGAATGTGTATTTTCCCGAGTGACACTATCATTAACAAATATAGTTTATACATTAATGAATATGTGAGAAGATCACAAGGTAAATGTAATAGGGAAAATAATGTTTTACTTCAGCAGCGACACTGCTGGTTATAAAGTAATAAAATACAGACTCCAGGTAGTATTAAATGTACAATACACCTCGGGGAGTCTAAAGTAGTAAAACACAGACTCCAGGTAGTATTAAATGGACAATACACCTCGAGGAGTCTACGGTAGTAAACACAAACTCCAGGTAGTATTAAATGGACAATACACCTCGGGGAGTCTATTTGCCTTTAATTCTTAATTAGTTAATTAAGGGTTTGAATGTGAACTCGTATGTAACCATGCTGATCGACGGCTGAATAACTGATGACCCTCCGGTGTCATATGTAGTGAGGTAACATTCTGTCACCCCTTGGCCTTATCGGCTGGGACTGTAGCTAGCAGTCGGGGTGTGGGAGTGTCTTTCCCGTATAGATCTATACACACAATGCCCGCTCTCCCTCCAGGAGACTCTGGTTACAAGGTGATACAACAATGTGTGTCGTATCGAGAAGTAGTATGTCACATTCTATTTATAGCATTCAAGTGTTTGTATAGTGTAGTAATGTTCACTCGGTACTAGTGTATAGTATACTCTCTTGTATAGTGTACAGTGTGTATTGTTTCTCATAATAGTGTGTTCTGACTCGTGTATGAACTGACTCCAAACTATACCTAGTTTACTACCAATGTACTTCAACTGTTGTTGAAAAGACTCTTTCATCTACTAAGTTATGCTTGCACTTTAAAACGGAGTTTTGGTAAAACTATAAAGTAACATAACTTTAAAAGAGTTTTTGAAATGTTTGACAACTTATAAATGACATAAGTAATCCTTTTGAAAACGTTTATAACAAACAATTACACAATTAACATTGTGTTCAACCTATATCCCCCCTTTAAAACATTTAAAACAGTTAAAAGATTCATTACGGGGTATGAACTCACCTGATGTGGGTGATTCAACGAATACGTGCGTAAGGATGAGAAGTTCCACGAATGAACTCCCGAGACTTAAAACATCCTAAATGACATATAATGGCATACATTGACATAAATATAGTGTTTAGAGGTAACCAAATGCAAGGAAACACCTCGCGGGACTAGGAAACACTTTGTCCAAGTGTTGGAATCACATGTGATTCAAACTAAGGGAGTGTACGGTCACTTGAGGGAGTGTGCGGCCACTTGAGGGAGTGTGCGGCCATGGGTGTGCGGCCAGGGGAGTGTGCGGCCGCACACTCATGGTAAAGAGTGCACAAAACGTTTTCCAAATGGTGGGGAGGCTTGTAGGACTGATGCTCATCAAGTGTTGAAGCTAGAAAGGCACTTTGGAGGCCCTTAAGCACTAAATAAAGGGGTGTACGGTCACATGAGTGTGTGCGGCCGCACACTCCTTGATGAACAGGTTTTGGACGTTTTCTAAGGCTCATATCTAGTAAGTAACAAGCTTGGGGAATGGTATTTACAGTATACAAGCCTTTAGGGGTGTTTTGATGGTGTTTTGAGGGTGTTTGAAGGGTGTACGGCCACATGAGTGTGTGCGGCCGCACACTCATATGTTCTTGAGTTCTGGGCATTTTCAAGGCCTTGATCTCGAGTTCTTAATAAGTTCTAAGCTTAAGGGAAGAGTACTTACGATCCGGAAGCTCGAGGAGGTCCAAAATCGCCAAGAACAAGTGTGTGTTCTTGGTGTTCTTGGTGAAATGGATGAAGATTTGAAGATCTAGCCAAAACACGATTTCAAATGGATGAAATCATAGGTTGTAACTAGTTTATGAAGATTAACAACAAACCAAAGGAAGAACACTTACATTCTTGAAGATTTAGGCTGAAAATCGGATGGTAGTTGAGAGAGAAACCGAGTTCTAGGCTTGGGGGAGTGAAAAGGGATTAAAGCAGGCTGAGTTCTACACTTATACACGTGAGTGTGCTGCCAGGAGAGGGGTGTGCGGCCGCACACCCATGTGTGCGGCCGTACACTCCTTATGTTGGAGTGTAAGGCCCGGTTTTGATGCTAGAAGTGTACGCGATCCATTCCTTTGCTCAATGCTTGAATGTACTGACCTTTGGACCTTTAAACGGACTCCAAACGAGGCTAAATGATAGCAGAAATGACCCTGACACTCAACTGAGCTGACTGGCTGAGTTTTTAAAAGCAAAAATTTTTCAGGTTGTCCCAAATTACATAAGAACCATTAAAAGGTGGTAAATATAATAAAAGTCTTAAGTTTTATACGCGTAGTTGGGAAAACCCTAACATTTTTTTTTGGCTTTGGCCACAAATTTTACGCAGAGTTATCACTCTAGCCCACTTAACAAGTTTCATGGTTAACTCTGCTATATTTCTTGCAAAATCAGTCATAAAATTGGGATTAAAGTCCAAATTTGGTCCATATAGTTTGCAAAAAATTACACCACGTGTCCAAAAAGTTTTCAACTTACACCACAGGTCCTGTAGTTTAGGACTGGTTTTGAGATTTTCCAACGAGAATAGGATTCTACGGTGAGACTTTTCCGGCAATAAGAAGTTGAAATTGAGGGCATTGGTTTGTCCACGATGAGGAGAGGAGTAGAAAAGTGATAACGATTTGGAGAATGAAGGGATGGTGGAGGCTGTAACAGCCGTTTTTCCGGTAAGGGTAAGTTTTCGGCAACGAGGCTCTTTGGCGGAGCTAGAGATGACGAGGTTGGCTAGGTTGTGGTCGCAAGGGTGTGGTGAACACAATGGATGCCTCAATTTGTGGCTTAGCGGCGGTTTAAGTGGTCAATTTTGAAGTTGCGGGTTGCTGTAACGGTGACGGTGGTTGTGGCGACGTGAGATGACAAAGTTAAACACAATAACTAATTTTGCAAAAAAAAAATAATAATAACAGAGTTAACCATGAAACTAGTTAAGTATGCTAAAGTAATAATTTTGTGTAAAAGTTGTGGCCAAAGCCAAAAAAAATGTTAGGGCTTTTCTCAATTATGTTGGTGATTTTAGTGTCACCATGTCATTTTAAGTAACTGGAACTAAGATGTGGAGCTAAGGGGTTTCAAAATTTGTATTCTATTATATGTACGGGGTTGTGCGGAGTGCACGCATGTATAAGATCGAATTAGAAGCCGATTCAACGACTAGTCGGGGGTTCGGGGGCAGCGCCCCCGGGTCCGGGGTTTCCAAAGGGGCAGCGCCCCTAGCGGGGTCCAAGGGGAAGAGCCCCTGGCTGGGGTCCCGCTGCCAGGTCAGCGGGCGGGGTCGAGGGGCAGCGCCCCAAAACCTCACCGAATTTTACATATGGGCACATAGTGGAAAATTCAATTTCTTGAGGGTGTTTATGGTAAAACTAACAGAACTCGTTAGTTTTGGTAACCCTAAATCCTCATTTAATCTGGATTAATATTACTTGCTTCCAAAGCAACTAATGACGACCCAACCTGGTAAAACCCTAATATCGTTTATTATATAAACGGTTCTTCTTTTCAGAAGAGAGTTACGATCTTAAGCTCTCGTTTTTCATCATACTTTCACAGAATCCTCTAGCATTTTGGCTTACGATTTCTGTGTCTAGAATCGTAAGTGTCCACTTGGATTATCCTAGGCTGAATTTCTTGTAACCCAGACATAGGGTAGAAATATCAGTTCGGAAAGTGATATCACGATCTAAGTCGGTATCCAGATCTCCACCACAAACTCTAATATTCCCAACAAATTACGCGTGTAAAACTTGAGACTTTTATGATATTTGCTTTTAAAAAGAGAACAACTCCATTCTACCCGACTCGAATACCCACTTCCTCTTGACCTGCCCCAATCAAATGTTTGTGCTATTATGGAGTCAACGATTTTTGTTGGAGAGGCACTCGTTTTAAAAATCTTATATCATTTCTTTCCAACCAAATATTCCAAAAGGTAGAAAAGAAAATCATGTTAGAGGATCACTTTTTCTGGGGCAAGGTAGAAAAGAAAATCATATTGAAACTCCCTTACCAAGTACGTACACTTGTGTACCATGGAAACATAAATCGATAACCATGACTAGGTCTAATGTTATTAAAGATTGTGATAGAGAGATAAAAGGAATCATTACTTCCCGGATTAATAACCGAATTGTCCTTTGACAAATTTCGACTCTTTGATGAAGTCCTTTCGAATAAGTAAATACCATGCCAAATTGTTTTGTGAATTAAAGGCAAACATAAATACGACTGGTCCAGCTTTAAATATAACGACTTGACCCGTCATCCATGCCTATCTTATATGAGTCTTATGTTTTGCATACACGAGAGATGGATAAGCAAGTCCCAGTTTGCACCACCTCATTCCACTGTTTTGAATGAGTCAAAAAGATTACGATTTATATTCCACTGTTATCAGTCTTCTCACACCAAATATACTACTGGATGTTATTTCCCATCTTGCATGACTTTAGTGTCCTACAACAATCAAACACCATAATAAGGAAAGTCCAAAGGAAATACATTAAACAACCAATTATATAATAAATATGTACAGCAATCCCCAATGAAAATCGTTATCTTCAACCTCTACTAGGTACCTAAGGTCGATATTATCAAAGTCTTACTAATTATCACCCTATTTTTTCTCCTATAAAACTTAGATTTCGATCAAGATTGCTACAAACTCCATCATACATCAAACCCCAAAAACTTACAAATAGTAGCCAAAAAAAACTCATCACCACAACAATGTGCTACAAGGTCGAGTGCAAGAAATGTGGGCTCACTGGCTGGGGAGGTTGCGGGGAGCATCTCCGCCCTCTCTATGCCAGCATAGACACCGGTAAACACTGCATGTGTCGTTCATGGCCTGGAGTTGTCATCCCTTCCTCCGGTAAGCCATCTGCCTCCACCACCAAAACCACCACTACCACCACCACTGCCGCCGGATAAGTTGGTGGTTTTTGGAATCTGGGTGGTTATCAGCAGGTGGTGGCCGGTGGGTGGTGTTTGAATTGCTTGTTTACTTTCGATGATTAAAGAATAATGAATTTGTTGAGTTGTTGGATACCATCGTATCTTGTCCACAAATTAATAATGTTTGTAAAGTGGTTTGGTTTGCAATTAGTGGGGAATAATTAATTAAAAAGGTTGTGTCTTGGGGCACTTTATTGTTAAATATTGTATTGTGCAGCGTGCCTTTTGGTTTTATAAGCTTGTTAATCTTGGCTCCACTAACTTTTGTGTGAAAAAACATGGTGTTTTGAGGCTTTTTTGGCTTTACTTTGTCCTGGTTTTATGTATTTGTCTTCCTAATCCTACCTTAATTTCTTGATTGGCTTATCATTACCACCACTATTGATTTCTTGATTGTCTTTTACTATGATGAAAAAAGTATAATGTTATTCAATGTTTAGACAAACTTATAAATCTTGGTTCCGAATTATAATGTTATATTAGGAAAGAGCAGGAATAATCAACCTCTACTCCTATTCATGGAAGTATATTTTTAATCCTTGTATTTAACTACTTAGGCAACTAAGTATATAAAATTTGAATCAAACATTATATAATTATATATAAATTGAGAGAAAAAAATGATCAACATACCAAGATCGATACGGACCAAAGAGTAAAGTGTGAAATTAGACAAAGTGTTATCTGATTTGTATCGTGTTCAGTTTAAAATTAAAATAAATTATAATTTTGTTTCTTATTTAGAACTTACAAGTTCCCCTCAAACCTTGTAATGGGAACCAAAGTAGAAATGGAGACTTGAAAATAGAGACCAAAATCAGTAAGTCTTAGAAACCAAACCCGATTTTAAACCTTGAATTATGAATCAAAAGTTTAAAAAGTAATTAATTTTGAACGGATCAGAAGGCTTCTAAACATAGATAAAATTAAAAATAATTTAGAAATAAAATAAACATGTCGTTTGAAATTTTTTTGAATTAGACATATAAGAAAAAAAAAAGCAAAAAAGCTTAAACAAAACTCTAAACCATAATTTTAAACAAGAAACATAGAGAGACAATAAATGTGGGGGAATGAGAGGTAGATTTACAGTGATTCAGTAAGGCTCGATAACCCCCACCACATTTAATGTTTTTGTTCTCAAAGTTCAGACTGACATTTATGTCTTCAATTTAATTTCAAAAATTTGGTCACAATTCTTAAATCAAATTTATGTGCTTCAAAAGCTAACTTTGTTAGATTCTTTTTGAAATGTATGAAAGATTTGTTACTTTTAACAAACTACTATCTTTTTTTTTCTTTTGTTTAGAATTAATTAATCTATGCTTCGTAAACATATATTTAGTAAATTTATAACATGTCCTTTTAAGAAACTCTTATGAAGTATGTTGATTTGGAAAGCTAGGAATGAGTTGTTTAAAAAGCTGAGAATCGATCCTTTGAAGACAACGGATAACATTGAGTTTCAACCGGATTAAACATAAATCAAATATGATTTCGTTAAATTGGTCGAATTGGATTAGCTCTTTGTTGTTTAACTGTATAATTGTTGTCTCTAGAATCTTGTTAGTTTTTTTCTTAAAATATCCGCTTGTTCTAAAAAAGTATGTCTTCAATTTAATTTCAAAAATTTGGTCACAATTCTTAAATCAAATTTATGTGCTTCAAAAGCTAACTTTGTTAGATTCTTTTTGAAATGTATGAAAGATTTGTTACTTTTAACAAACTACTATCTTTTTTTTTCTTTTTTTTAGAATTAATTAATCTATGCTTCGTAAACATATATTTAGTAAATTTATAACATGTCCTTTTAAGAAACTCTTATGAAGTATGTTGATTTGGAAAGCTAGGAATGAGTTGTTTAAAAAGCTGAGAATCGATCCTTTGAAGACAACGGATAACATTGAGTTTCAACTGGATTAAACATAAATCAAATATGATTTCGTTAAATTGGTCGAATTGGATTAGCTCTTTGTTGTTTAACTGTATAATTGTTGTCTCTAGAATCTTGTTAGTTTTTTTCTTAAAATATCCGCTTGTTCTAAAAAAGTATGTTGATCTTAATTTCCTGCAACCAAGGTTCTAAAAAGTTCTTCATGGCTCCGTTATGGCACGTCATGGCTCCAAAACGTGTAGTTGCCGCCAAACTTTAACAAAATGGCGCATTAAGTCATATATGTATATAAAAATGAATAATAGTAGAATATATATATATATATATATATATATATATATATATATATATATATATATATATATATATATATATATATATATATATATATAGAGAGAGAGAGAGAGAGAGAGCTAGGTTCATTTGTTTAAACTAAGTATTGTATTATTGTATGCATAAATGTGGGCCAATCAAAATTTAAAATATAAATAAATAATTAAATAAATAAATAAGGGTAATTAGGTAATTTTATAAACAACTTCCCCAAATACTTTCCTATAATTATGCTAGTTGATTTTAACCTAATTTATCCCATTTTTATAAACAACTTCCCCAAATACATCGATGAAGGTGAGAAGGAAAGCACGAAGTGGCTGCAAGGTCCAATGGATGTCGATCGATTGCAGGCTAAGGAAGCGTTTCCGGGGTCGACGAGACTGAAGCAACGAAGTGAAGAAGCAACATAAGTCATCTTCCTCGTTCAATCTAATGAACGACGTTTCTTTGACTTTCGAAAGTCAAAGTCCTTCAAACCAAATTCCGATAGCAATGGTACGTAATCAGGCACCCATGTAATGCCCGTTACCCCATCGAGATTTGATTTTACGAGCCAATTTCGACTTCAATTTCGTTTCTAAATTCCGATTATAGATGCCAAAACAAAGAACTCCCGAGTCCCGACGAATTTGATTCCAACAAAAATTCCGATCAAAGCTTCTTCTGTAAATGCGAATGGATGATGGGAATGTTTTTGACTATCAGTGATGGAATTCCGAATCTGATTTGAACATTCGATCAAGATTGTTGTGATCAACTTCCGATTATGAACATGTGAATGCCGATACTGAGTCGAGCATCCCAAATCAACACTTAAATTCGAATCCTTTGAAATCAGTTTCAGAATTGTCTGTATAAGAACGCTATGAATCGGTATTTCAAACATTTATGCGAATACTAGAACTGTTCATATCAGAATGCAACAACGAGTTCCGATTTTTTGGAGTCAAAATCACAAACCTTCGTTCCCAGTTGAATTGATTCATGTTTCAATTTATGTTTTTTAACTTGATTTTTGGCTGCATTTTATGAATTGAGTCATGTTTCAATTTATGTTTTTTTTTTCTGATTTAACACTTCATTTACGTGGACAATGTAGGATCTTGACAAGGTTGAAATCTGAAAAGGTATCAACTATGTTTATGTAGATGATTCAATGGATGATATTGGTGAGATTCCAATTCTATTGGAATGGAATCACGAATTCTAATTCTATTGGAATTGAATTACGAATTCCAATTTTGTTGGAATCACAGAATGTGATGCTTGAAGAACGGACCATAAAAGTGAAAGTGATTCTAAGCAACATTATTCTTTTAGAACGTTTTAGTCGTTGTTAGATTTTGATGTTTTCTTTCCCGTTTTGAAAGTTTTTTTAGTTTTATTCTTTAACAATAAATGTAATTCTTAACAATTGTTACCCGTATTCTCTAAGAAATAATGTATTTTTTGTTTTTATTCTTCAATTGATTGTTCAAGAATTTGTTATTCTACAAGAAGTTTTTAAATTCATGATCAAGAAATAGGTTCAAGAATATTGTTATTATTTATGGTTCAAGAATATTTTTATTTTTGAATATACTCATAAACATATTCTGTCAGAATGTCCGAATTAAAATAATTATAATTCGTAAAATCGGATTTTTAAAATTAATAGAATCTATGATCCCTTAAAAAAATGCAATTTTCCTTTATTAAATCTATATTATTTGACTAAATTACCCTTCTAATTAATTAAGATGATATTTTTCAATTATATTTAATTCAATAATATATATTAATCACTTTCTTAAAATAAGTAAAATTGATTGGCCCATATTTATACATACAATAACACAATAATTAGTTTGAATAGAATAACCTAGGCCTATATATATATATATATATATATATATATATATATATATATATATATATATATATATCTATTATCTATATATAGGGAAAAGTTCAATACAAAACCATAATTATTGGTTCTCCAAAGAACCAATTTTTTTTTCAAGTTATAGAGCTTATTCTTTATCGAAAAAAACGCTAAAAATATCTAAATTCATAACCTAACATTGTCAATGTTAAATATATTTTTCGGATTCACCGTGTGAATTTAGATTCACATTGTGAATTTGACGAAATTTTTTTTATTGAATTTGATATCATTGGAAAAAAGGATAAAAAGTTATGAATTTCTGTATTTTTAGGTTTTTTTTATAAAAAATAAGTTCTAAAAGTTAAAAAAAAGATTGGTTCCTTGGTTAATTATGGTTCTCTATTGAACCTCACCATATATATATATATATATATATATATATATATATATATATATATATATAATTAATTGTATATACAAAATTGTCGCCTTAAGTCACACTTTACAAACGACGTGGTTTGTCACGGCTCAAAAAAGCTTGAGGCTTAACATTGCCGCCAAATCACGACTTACGTTATTTAGAATATTGTCTGCCACTAACATCAAAAATAGAATAAACTCAAATGAAATGTTTTTCATATCCACAATAATTTTGAGTATTAATAGAATGTACATGATCTATTTTGGAGGCTTAATTATTATTCTTTTTTATCCGTTTAATGAATTAGATACTTAATCTTGACATCAATATATGTGTTTGTCTTTTACTTATACCACCAACATATATACACCGCGGTAGGTGTGGTAACACCACCTTGCCCTTTAAAAGTACCACACTTTGCGTTCCCTGGTAGAATTTCTCTGCACCTAAACCTTTCT